GAGCTCATGAATTCATTTTGTAAATGAAATTACCGGAACGAGAGCACTATCAACATCCCCAACAGAACAGTTTCCCAAACCTATACTTAACCTAGCCCTGTCAATCTTTTATCTTCCCTGTCTTAGGTTTGAGACCAATCAACTACCTATTCAACATCTTTCCTATGCGAACATCATAAACAAGATATTAGTTTTATTAGAAAAAAGCACACAAAAGTATTGTTAATAATAATCTAGTGACGTCAGCGGCACTGATGGCACCCGCTTGTTTGTCGTACATTACCGTGTCAAGTCTGGATTTTTTTTTATTATTGATTTTGTCTAATTTAGATTTTCGTACAAACTATTTTATTTATTGTTTAAAAGGGCTTAAAAGTCCTTTAAAATAATCATTCTTCATCGTCTTTGCTAACTATTTCATTCACAAATACAAAGCTTATGCATTAAAACTATGCCCCTAAAATCACAACATTCATTTGAAACACACATGTAATTATAATACAATAATGAACTAACTACATTTATATTATTATGTATTATCATGTCAAAAGAATTTTACAATAATATTACAGAGTTAAATAAATTTTTCACTTTTAACTAAAGTTACAATGTAAATAGATTACACGAATGTAATATAATATTGGTAACATTGTAGTGTGATTTAAAGATATCGAGAAAAACGTCTTCGCTAACTCATATACAGACAAAATGAAACAAAAAAAAAACAAATATCTCTTTCCTATTTACACAGACAGCATCATTTTGAGTCGCATTGAAAGTACACAATCGACGCTTGAAAGGCAAACGTGACTAAACGACAATGCGTGAACTTTACAGTAGACTAATTTAAAGTTGAAATACCTGAAAACAAAATTTATTTTAACGAATCTAGCTGTAGTAGAATCTAGCTAGTAGCTGTAGGATTGAAATGATTTTAATAGACCTAGAAATATATATTTTTTGCGCATCGAATATGGTTATTGCCTATCATTTATGTACAAAGCAGTTATTGTCGCTTGGTCACGTTTGCCTTTCAAGCGTCGACATTATAAATTAATTCACATGCAAATGAAGACTTGTTTCTTTTCGTTGTACTTTTTATTCGACAGCCCGTTATTATCTGACAGAAGTAGTCAAACTACATTAAAGCTAGTCCCGATACGAGCGCAAACAAATCTAGCACCTAAACGTTCACGAGAGGGTCGATTTTACAATTCCTTTAAATCTAAAGAAATTTGATTAGGAAACTGCAATATATTTGGATATGAAGCTAAATAATTCGAATAGTGAAATATATCGAGGGGTGAAAGGATATTTGGTTTAAGAAAATTTTTTAAAACAACAGGAGAGTAATTTAAAGTTTAAAATTTTGAAAAAAAAATCATAACAAGAAAACTTCTTTAGCTATTTGAATGGAATAAATTTAATTGAAGTTCAATTAATAACATCGAACTGTTGCTTTTAATACCAAATAAAATGCACCTTTAATTACAAAGATAAATGTCACATATTAAGTAAAATGTCGCTTAATTTTTTCTTTTTTATTGCTTAGATGAGTGGACGAGCTCACAGCTGGTGTTAAGTGGTTAGTGGAGCCCATAGACATCTACGACGTAAAGGCGCCACCCACCTTGAGATATAAGTTCTAAGATCTCAGTATAGTTACAACGGCTGCCCCACCCTTCAAACCGAAACTCATTACTGCTTCACGGCACAAATAGGCAAGGTGTTACCTACTCGCGCGGACTCACAAGATGTCCTACCACCAGTAAACAAATCAAATAGTAATTCAAGCCTCGATATAATTATTTATACACATTCAAAACCTTATTGGGAGGGTATATATTTTAATGAAAAAATTACTTGGTACGAACAAGTCTTTGTAAATTGAAGACTTCAGATATTCTTTTAGCGGATAGATAACAATTAGGGAAGAGTTTGCTTAGATAACTTCATAATTTTACTGCGTTTTCAAACATGAGGACACGATTAATACAGTTTCACGAGTTGTTTTATTAATTTTATATTTTAATATATTCCTAATGTAAACTTTAATTTTAAGATTTAAACGGTAACGATGATAACTTTTAATAATAACAATTTAAACTTCATCTTACGATATCATTAACCATTTAAATAAGATTTCTATTCGAAAATGTACTCATAATTATATTTAAAGAAACATAAATTAGCTTCATTAATAAGGGACAGATGAAAACGAAATACAAATAAATTATAATAACATAACGAAATAACGATACATATACATTAACAATGGTTATTGAGAATCACAATTATTTACAAGGTGTATGTGTAGATTGACAACATCGATTCTTGCACCGATTTGAGAAATCGAACGTTCTCGAAAAGAAATACGAAACGCTTCGCTTTGTGATTCTAGAAACAACAGTGCATCCTTTGGCCTTCATAGACATACTTAAGACCACTTTGACTGCTCAATAACGCATTTATGATTTTCCTTTCACATCTGACGTTTTGAATACATATACAGTTTCTTTGGTCGCGGACTATTGGAGTGTTATATGCCGATATTTGAATATTATGCTAAATTCGATCGAACTACAATATCTTAATAACGCTCATGGTACCTACTGCGCGCGATGTCACACAATTTATGCAAAGATGAAGTTCAGGGGTCAACAACCTAGCGCGTGCAGATCGCGGGTTCACGTAAACTGATCAAAACCATAAAATGACTACTACCGTCGCTTTTATTTATTTATTTTTCTTTTCGGCAACGGTCAGTTTAGACTCGCACAAAACTAAATTATGTTTACCCAAAAATAAAGAGCACAGAATGCAAATGCAATTTTGTGATGCCTCGAATATAATTTTTATTATTGCTGGCAATAATTTTCAGTCAGAAGTCTTCGCCAAGAATCGCGCCAGTATGTTGTCGGAGTTACATTGTTATTGCGCGTGTAGATTATATTTAAACCGAAGCAATATCATTGTATATTGATACAATGTTTTTTTTTTTTTATGATAACTCTTTTTTGTTGATAAATTTTCAACGACTTTCTATAATTCTCTTGAATTTATCGGTCGGTAAATCGAAATTGTCAATCATTACAACAAACAAACATTCGGCATAAAACTAGCGTCTATGAGATTAACGGAGCGTTCTCCCCTATGCTACATAATATGTACAACTATCGAAAAAGAAAAAAAAAACATTTAATGTGACATGAAACATCAATGAAATAACAATAACTATATTATCACATCGACTTATATTCGAAAAATTTACAAAACCATTTTTGTTTATTATAAAAAAAAAAAAATATGCTTTCATCGTCTTCAAAAACTCGACTAGAGTGCACCACCGTCGCACAATGGAAGTTTCCGAACGTCTTTAACGAAGCATTATTACACAAGCGTATTTATTTATATATCCTTTACAAGTTCAACAATGATTTCGAATCCAACTAACGTGTGTAGTTACGTTACATCTACTAAACATTTACATTGGGCTGGTTCTAATTCACTGCGACGATAAAAAATCGCGCTGCGGGAAAAGCTAGTTTCACTTATGAGTCCAACGATTATAAGACCCGTACCAAACAAAAATATCGATTGTATTTTAATTAATTTCAGCGGTGATTTCATATTTTGATGTGAAACATCTATAGCCGCACGTAAAACCGGTTTCTGGCGCGGCGACGCATGCCGTGGCGACACATGCCGTGGCGACGCGTCGCCATGCGCAATCGACTGTGCGATTCTCTCCCACTCGATCCGGCGTTAAGCCATCTCTGAGCTCCATCACTGAGCTCGGATACCTATAGTGTATACTCCGTAGTGTATACAGTGTTGTTTACTACAGTACACATAACCTGTGTTTTTCTTGAAAACAAATTATTTTTTCGTAATATTTTATTTTATCATTATGACATATTTAGTTCCTATCACAATCTGTTCTTTTCTGCATATTACTTTTACAAAATAATGTCGTTGTTTCACATCTGCTAGGCGTCCCGTGACAGCTCACATTTTTTTATATTTAACGGTAAATATCTATTTATTTGTCTTTATGTACTTTCTTTAATAATGCATTATTTATGTACACCGCAAATATGTATACCTGTTTCCCTGTTTATCTTTTCCAGAATTTCTCTAAATTAAACGGTTTTCAATATTTATATCAGTATCTATTTACAAATGTATCTGCTTGTTAAATTTTTTTAATGTTATGTTTTGATGTGCGCAATGGTATATTCTCTCTTTATCTCTCTCTTCCTAAATTTATCAAAAGTTATCATTTCATTTAGTTAATTAATTCATTATCACTTTCATTTCATTATTAATCGTCGGATAGAGATGATCTATCAATTTGATTACTAATCGTCGATTAAAGATAATCTATGATTCGAATTGGTCAATTATTTCTAACATATTATAATCGATAAAAAATCGATTAAATATTTCAAGTTTAATTACAGAGCATTCGCATTAAGCATCGCCCCTCCCGCAGTGCCTCGATAAGCGTCGCAGTAAAGTCAGGCCAACACGTAATATACCTATGCATATAGGGTGTATATAGGTAAACTTTCCCGAAGCCTAGACTGTTAACAATATTCGTTAACAGTTTTCCTTTTGATAATTTTAAATTTCACGAACCAGCAATGTAATGTAAAGACAGACTCTCGCATTTATTCATGATACATGCTTGGTATCTTTTTTGTGACACAAAAGATTACAAGATGCGATAGCAAGAAGTGTTAGGCTATTGTTTAACCGATCCTTAAAATCCAAATATATTCTTAAAATTCCGTGCGTCCGCTGCTCTTTTAACATACATTGCGTGTAAAGAAAAAAAATCGAAGGGCTATTTGGTTTAAGCGAAATTCCGCTTAATACGCGACATTTATCTTTGTAATTAAATTTCCGTTTTATTTAGTATTCGTATCAGCTGAAGAAATTTTTTTTTGGTTATGATATTTGTTCCAAATTTTAAAATTACCCACCTGTAATGTTGTAAAAATCTCGCTTAAGCCAAATAGTCTACCACTCCTCGATAAAAAAAATTTCGGTTGCCACCTTTTCGGAATCGTTTACAACACACCCTGTATTTAATAAGCTATAACACTGAAGTCAGACAGTTCTCTCGGTCACTACTACTACGGTGCGTACCGTCCGACGGTGACCGTTGTGCAGAACGTTAGCGCCGGACGAGCTCAGTGGCGTCGCATGCGTTTACGTTTGCGACTCTTGTGATATTATGTGAACTCATTGAATTGCGCCAGAGCGGTCTTCACCCTGAAACAAACGAATATCCATTAAATATAAAAATGAATTGCTGTTCGTTAGTCTCGCTAAAACTCGAGATCGGCTGGACCGTCTTGAATTATTTGTGGAAGTCCAGAGAAGGTTTAGATAAATATGAAAACGCTCGGAATTAAATAAAATCAACAATTTTGTTTTTCCTTTGCTGAGTGAAGTTGTGTGATTTGTTTGATTTTGTCTATTTAGTGTTTCTTCAGGTTTAAATGTGCAATAACGGTGGTTTATTAACTGTTTAATATCTGTGAAAGTGCACAAATGTGGGAAAATGAAACAAAGCCGCTGGACGCAACTGCTCGGGATCCTCAGAAAAGTCTACTGAAAAAATCTCAGTAAACGACCACCATTTTACTGAGATTATATTTCATCCCATATCATCTCATTTCATTTAATTTCATTTCACTCCATATTATAATTTTTCATAAAAATCGAAATTAAAATAAAACACGACTTAAAGGTTTTATTTACCAGGTCATAAAATCCTTTAAAAAAACAATAGGGTCAGTGTTAGCAACATTTCCGGTTTGAGCTCCGTGAGCAAAAAAACGCCTCTGACGCGAGTAGCGCACGTACTTGTCGTGCAGGTGCGCGGCGTGGTGCGAGGCGCGCAGCAGCTTGAGCGCGCGCAGCACGCCCAGGTCGGCGAGGCGCTGCTGTCGCGCGGCGGCGCCCGCCTCCCCGCGCCACACCAGGTTGCCGGCCACGAACAGCGCCGCCTCCTGCAACTTGCTCTCCGGGTGCGCCTGCAACCACGCATTCATTACCATATTAGGGGTCATCCATAAATTACGTTACACGTTGATGGAGAGGGGGGAGTATCACCGAAATGTGACTTAGTAATCGCCCGCTCCGGGCTCCCCAGAAGGGGAAGACCGTCACGGAGAGGGACCGACGTAGAAACACTCCCCTTACGGGATAATGGTCCACCCACGGGGTTGGTGAAATGGGTCCCCATAGGGGGCACCCCAACAATGTGGGGGGAGATGACAAGTGTGGACAGCTCAGTCCCATGGGGGCACTCATTACGAGCACTCCCATATCACTCCGGTGAAGCCGACTATCTTACCATAGAAGGGGTTCCCGTAGCTCCCTTGGTAGCGCCCGACCATCAGGTGGTCTGGCGTGCAAGTGAGCTATATTGTGGAGATGCTCGTGGCGTCCACCGTCAGCCCGCTCGTAAAGATTACGAGCTAACCTCCGGATGAACTCCTCGAGCGACTCCACGTCCAGATCCCGGGCGATTACTTCATTTCTGACGTAACGCCCTGCTCCGACTATCGTGCGAAGAGCCAGATTTTGCTGGGCCTGTAACTTCACCCGCATGACCTACGGGATGAGGTGATACCAGGCCACTAACACTAGAAATTTCTTCTTGATACATCTGTGACGAAGCGCCGTCAGATTTAAATCCCCAATAAACACGAGACTAATATTACAACCATGGTGAGCCAACGCCAGAAATACTATGTACGTGCGAGCTTTATATCTGGTACTAGTAGCCATCAATAAAGCACCGTTTCAAATTTAAAATTGCATGTGGCACAAATTAACTTTGCGACCAGGGCACTCTAGCAGTGTTGTAATTTTTTAAATGAGACAATAAAATTTCCACCATAAATATTTAAACGTTATGTGTAGACAAGAGAATATAAAACAGATCAGAAGGGAGCTTCTAAGAATTTGACAAGATGTGATGTGAAAAAGGCCTCGTATTCTGTAAGACCCGCTACAGCAATGACACCGACCACATAATGACCCACTCACCAAATAATCAACAAGTTTCCGGAGTACGTCTTCGTTGGCCATTATCAGATCTTTCGATTTTTCACCGTCGCCGATATTCCCCAGTATACACAAGGCTTGCTCCTTCACCTCCGCTGGATACGAACCCTCCAGCACCACTATTACTGCCTGCCGAACAAGCTTCAGTTTTTCTTTATTATATTTTACGGAGATGAGACGGCGCAAGATGAGAATTTTAGATCTTTTAAATGAGATAGCTTCAATCAATGATACGGACGTTCATGAGAGTTTAACTTGTATAAAGGCGGCGCTATACAATTTTAATTGAATTAGGATAATTTTTTTTGTTTTTTTATTGCTTAGATGGGTGGACGAGCTCACAGCCCACCTGGTGTTAAGTGGTTACTAGAGCCCATAGACATCTACAACATAAATGTGCCACCCACCTTGAGATATAAGTTCTAAGATCTCAAGTATAGTTACAACGGCTGCCCCACCCTTCAAACCGAAACGCATTACTGCTTCACGACAGAAATAGGCGGGGTGGTGGTACCTACCCGTGCGGACTCACAAGAGGTCCTACCACCAGTAAATTATTAGTTTTATTAATCCTTGCCCGATATAGAGACTAACCAGTACCAATGTGGTATGTATGTGCACAACCAACCTGCATGACCTGCGACGAGTACTCGCTCATGATGGCGTCGATGTGCTGCCTGGTGGAGAGCAGGTTGCGCAGCAGGCCCAGCATCTTCATGATGACGCGCGTGTCGCTGTCGCCCAGCAGACGGAACATCTGCTCCGTGCCCAGGCAGCACAGGATGCGCTGCTTCACCTTCTGTTCCGCCTGTACGATTCATCAACTACAGTTACAGCGCGCTGTGCGGAGGGGGGTTGGGAGGGATCAGTGACCATTGCACACAAATTTCTCTCTACCTCCGTTATTATATATTGTTAATTAAATATCAATGTTCGAATTATGTACAATTACTGACATCAGATTTTGCGTCTCGTATATTTTTGTGGCCAACCATCTAAAGACATGAGGTGAACATTTTAATTGATTATAGTATATTTTCAGCTGAGTTTTATGTTCAACGCAATGTCAGTCTACTGTATATAAATAATATAAAGACATATATCTGAGCTTTCACAAAATATTGTCTTCAATTCCTATTAGGATGGTCTTACACGTCACATTTTTTTAATTGCTAAATTATCGTTTGCCATTATTCTCTTCCTAATTATCAGAACATGAATACCTGCTATCAACAAACAGGCCTGCTTACAACTTGAAATCCTTTCAACGGAATTTCTTCTTCCTTTCATTAGGCGCATATAAAAGTACTGCAAATACAATAATAGTTTTACCTGAAAAGCCATGTTCATTAACGCCCAAATCCCGTTCAATCTCAACGCGGGATCCGACATTTTTGTCAAATTACACAGCATCTCAACTGCACCTGAAACAATATAACACGGATAATTCTAGACGAGACGTCATTTTACTTTTGTCCAGTAATACAATAACGTAAATAAAACTGAAGTACCTTGATCGAGCATCGGTTCTTTGGCCGGTGAAAATTCTAGCAACAGATTGCACAAGGTCGACGAACCGACGTTCAATAGTTCAGGGCCCGGAGAATCGTTCAGCAGCTGCATGAGAGGCTTCCACACCGCGTGGTCCTGGAGACGACACCGGAATAATAAGGGCTTTTGCTGACGTCATCCCGCCCCCTCGCGTGGTCACGCAGTCCGAGCAGTCGGAGAATAGGGATTCTAATACCTCTTCTAGTCTTCTTTAACGGCCGTCTGGTGTAATGGTAAGTGACACGGTCACTACACAAGGGGGTCCCGGGTTCGAATTCCGCCAAGGGAAGATATTTGTATGGTAAATATAAATGTCTTTTCCATACATCCTTTTCCGGCTGCCGGATGTATATGAAATATGTGTATGTGTATAATAAAAAATCTTACATTTATTTCCGTTATCTGGTACCTGTAACACTAGTTCTTTACGAACTTATCACGGGACCAGTTAACTTGGTGTGATTGTTAGTAAATATTTATTTATTTATTTATTAATATTTATTATTCTAGTCTAGTCTTCAAAAAGCACACGTTGGCACTGGTACCAAAATTTGCTGATAGTACCAACAATGTACAGTAGGTGGCGCGCAAATCGATTTGACAAATTAATTTATTTATAATAGATGATTCGAGAATACTAAATGCTACATTTCCACACTAGATGGAATGGGAATGAAGAACTGAAATTAAAATTATTAAACCTGAAAAGTCGTTCGCAGCTGTTGAACCGATCTTGACAACGAATGCAAGCACCGCACGGCCGCTAGACTCACCTGAAACACATTCATACTTATATCAAGGTGTGAAGTAGCCGGTTTCAAAGCCGAAAAGAAACAATAATCTTAACAAAGACAGAAAACAAAACAATCATTACAATTCGCATGGATCAAAAGTGGAACCTTCGGAAACATATCTCGTTCTCTCTCAGACAGATGTATATATTTGGCTCTTTTTAATGTTGATTTTTCGTTTCATCAAATTTCAAATCTTTAATGTACTTCAAAAGTTTCAATTTCAAAAATGCATTGGAATTTTTGTTGTAAATTCAATTTGCTCATTGGCCGCACACGGAATTTTAATATCGGCATTAATAATTGAGTTACATGCGAATGTATGAGTATGACTAGTATGTGTTAGCGTGTGAATTACTGTCGACTAGTGCCTGCAACTTTATTTCTTTCCCTGCCTAATAGCTGATAGTCTAGTGAGGTCACTTGGTAACACTAGCCCTAGCAAGAGCAATGTTATGCTGAATCTATCAAATGCAAGAGCAGTGCTTTGCTGAATCTACCAACGAATCGGAATCGAACCATCTGAGAAGCTCCGCCGAAAAATACAGTGGGTTAAACCTACACCTGTCTTATCTTCAGTCTTATATTTTCTAGAACTCCCTTACTTAAAACAATATTCAATGTTAACGTTTCATTAAAAAAATTATAGATATGGCATAATTAATAGATATGGAGGCAATGGAAGTGGATGAGGAGAGCCGCAGACCAGGCTCAGTGGTGTGGATTGGGAGAGGCCTACGTCCAGCAGTGGACGACTGTGGGCTGTTGTTGATGATGATGATGATGATGAGGCAATGGAATGCAAATATGCAATCAGAATTTATGTTTACTTGACAATGCCAATATTAATCGTAATTATTTCTTAAAATTCTTCCTTCGAGTTATCAATACGAAAATATGCCACGGCTCCTTATCGAAGTCGCGATAGTACACGTACGTATGGACGTAAACAATATTTTAAATAACCTATATACGTCTTTATATAATAATATATAATTCTACTGTACGTGTGTATGTTACTGAACTCCTAAACGGCTGGACCGATCTGAATTAATTTTTTTGTATATGTATGGGTTGCGCCCTGGATTGTTTATATCCACAAATCAGCCCGGCAGATAACGCTGCAGTCGGTATCTAGTTATTTATCTATACTGCAACTAAACGGCTGGATCGACTTGAATGAATTTTTGTGTATGCATTCACAGGACAACGTCTGTCGGGTCCGCTAGTACTTATAAATATGAACATAAGTTGTATATATCGGAGAAGCCACAATTATTAACACCATCGTCAAACATCATAGGGGCGAATAGGCTGATCGAGCTAAGAGAAATATTGAGTACACCAATCACGTTTGTTGTCTTAGAACAATTTAGAAATCTTCTCTTGATGTTAGCAAACGAAAACGTATGACAATTCTTAGGACGGAGGCACAGCTCTTCAAGAAGGTTGGTTGGTAAGTGTGTAATGGCGTCTAAGCGCCTCCATCGGCTAGGTTCTGTCGTAGCACGAATTTAGCAGAGTTCCGACGATAGCGTGATCGTGCTGCCACCTCTCGGGAATCGTGCTGCGTTTCGTTTAGCTACCAAACTAACAACCGTCTCCGACACATTTAAGTTTTACTAGGACCTCATTTAATTACTCATTGAAAAATATTAATTCGTTTTTAAAGGAAATTTCATCTATACTAATACTAGCGGACCCGGCCACACGTTGCTGTGGCTGTGGCTTAGGTTTTTGTTTCTAAATAACTCGCGGCCGCCTATGCTAATACAAAAAATTGACAACGTAAGAACAATTGGATTTCACTGTATTGCGTTTACTACGAAATAAATTTCACTTATACTTTAGCCTCAGAAACACGTGGTGCTTATGCCATTAAATTGTAGCTTATGTGAAACGTTGGTATTTTTAGCACAGCGCCATCTATGAGATATTAAAGTCACAGTATAACAATTGTCTGTAAAAACTGATTTAAGGCGCCATCTGTTTTAGACTTATGAAACTTACAATTAATAACAAAAATCAACATAAGAAATCATTTTATTGTTAATTAATAAATATTGCGACCATTCATCGAAATAAAAACCATCCTATCTCTCAAGTTGGATCGAACTGCACATGGTGTGCGAATTTTATTATAATCGGTTAAGTGGTTTAGGAGTCCATTGAGGACAAACATTGTGACACGAGATTTATATATATTAAGATATAAATCTACAGTGGCTTTTACGGATGTTCCCTTATAAGTACTGAACCATGCATACGATTGACTTGAAACTTGGTATCCATGTAGAAAATACATGTACTTAATGGATAGGCTAATATTTATATGAGTGTTGAACTCCCTACACCAGTTGCGGGGGCGTTAATGCTGAGAATCTTTGTGGGGGGGTGAGAAATAATAATGTTAATTTTAAATGCCCAGCGAAGCGGACGGGTACAGCTAGTTGTTAATAATTCCATAGCTGTGTGTGTGTGTGTGTGTGTGTGTTTGTGTGTAACTTACACAAGGATCAGGATTGTTCAGTCCGTTGACGACATGCACCATCAGGCCGTGGGTTTCGATGATCATTTTCCTGATGTCCTCGTCGTTCGCTCCGAGCGAAGCGAAACATTTGAACGCGCCTTGTTTGGCGGCCGCGGACTGGCAGTTCACGATGTCCGCCAGGGAACTCATCAAGTGATTCGATATCGCCGCTAGACGCTGGAGGGACGTGTCGACCTATTCCGGGATACCAGAACGATTCATTTCTGAGTATTCAATTAAATTGGTAGGCAGCGGCTTGGCTCTGCCCCTGGGATTACTGAAGTCCATGGGCGACGGTAACCACTCACCATCAGGTGGGACGTGTGCTCGTCTGCCTACAAGGGCAATAAAAAAATGCGTTATTATTTAAGAGTAAAAATGTAGTCAGCGGCCATGAAGCAGTATAACGTTTCGGTTTGAAGGGTGTGGCAGCCGTTGTAACTATACTCAGACCTTAGAACTTATATCTCAAGATGGGTGTCATTTACGTTGTAGATGTCTATGGGCTCCAGTATCCACTTAACATTAGGTGGGCCATAAGCTCTTCCACCCATCTAAACAATAAAAAAAAATTTAAAAATTCAATTCAGTGAGTATAATAATAATAACTATTAGCTAATGATAATAACTTTTAGCAACGTATTTAATTTGGACAATAGCCCAAGTACCCCAATGAATTTTAGTATTGTTTTAGGTTTTTTTTTAATTTTTGCATACGGCGTTTGCTTGAAAACATTTGACAACAGCCGCCGCCACCGACAATATTATACATCACCGAATAAGTTCGACAAGGTACATTACATATTACTATTTGTCTACTGCACGTAACGTTATCTATAATGGAGCTAGCCGGGCCGCAGATACTACCAAAACATGTCAACGAATATACTAAATAGATCATAAGCTATTGTATAACATTGGTTATTACTTGAATGTAAAAAAAAAAATAGATTTAAATATATGTTTAATATTTTTTGTCGCAGATGCCAATTCAATTCAAAATAACGTAGGTAGTTTATCTGTGACGGCGACGGTGAATTACGGCTCGTAATTGGATATTATTATTATGAATTCGTCCGAGCGTAGCTGGAATAGCCCTTTAGGCTACCAGCGAATAGTTAAAGGAAAAAAAGAAAAAAATATTATAATATACAGGGTGCTAGGAGACCGCTTCCGAAAACGAAGATAGACGATACCTAACACTAACCTTTGATGATGTCACGGAATAAAATCAATTCTGATTTTTAAATAGCATATTTTTAAAACGTTTTATTAACATTATTTACGCTCCATCACGTTAGTACAGCTAAATAAAACAATAGTTTTATAAAAAATACATTACTTTACTAAAAAAAAAACCAGCAATGAAACACAAAATCAAAAACAGCTGATGCTCGGATCAAGGAATGCCTGGGCGCGGTGCGGCGTTTATACCGCGCTCCCCAATGTGTCCCCCAAAAATGTAAAACTTTGTAGGTTGTAAAATTTTCATTTTCGGAAGCGGTCTCCTAACATCCAGTATTATGAGGAGCCCTAAGAACTTGCCCCCGCACGACTGCGCGTCACTAGCCCCGCCGGGCGCGTACCTCGGTCAAATAGGCGAGCACCTCGGCGGCGGACGCTCGGATGTCTTCCGTGTTCTCTTTGGTACACAAACGCGCCAGACACGGAAGAGCTCCGAAAACGATCCTAAACACAATCATAATACGGTTTTAAACGACTTGTGGTCTCATTTAGCCTACGGTGACCGGCCATTTATTTCTTTAAACAAAAAAAACAAGAAGAGTCGCTCGACCCAGAACTGTTTGCTATTAGAGACTGACAATATCCATAATAAAAAATATCGATATGTACAAGAGACATAGTACACTAAATATGCAATTCAATACAATACCATAGTAATATAAATGTGAAAACAAATATAAGTAAATACAAATATACATACAAATAAATACAAATATACATACGTAATTAGTTTCAACTAACTCTATTCGTAACTCGCTTAGTTAAGTTTCGTATTTATTATTGATTTTTTTTTCTTTTTCGGATAAGTTTATGATATAATTACGAATACATTTTGAACTAACCTGCTGTCGTCGGCTGGCAGAGCGCCGGCCCTCTGTAAGAAAGTGAGACATTTGGCAGCTTTCAACGCCACTACGAGAGGCTTGTCGCGAGACACCAGGCACATTAGTAACTCCGGTATTGATTTATCACCGTGCCTGACGAAGATATTATCAAACATAAGTAACATTTCTAGTAGAACAATCTGATTAATTAATAATGAAGTAGTAGTAATTTGTATTTCGATGCGAAGGAGTTTATATAGTGTGCCGTGTGCTTTGTGAGTTTTTAACGTTCTCGATAGCGTAAAAGTTAACTGAAATTTGTATGCACTTGGAACAGCGCCCCTAGCAGCAAACGAAACGTAAGCAAACGTACCAACTTCATACAAATTTGAGTTAACTTTTACGCTATCGAGAACGTTAAAAAATTCGCACTAAACATACTGTTTTAGCACAGACGATCTTCCCACCCGTATGGTACAACCTGTTTGCTCATCGGAATCTATATAGATCACAGCATAAATACCGCTTTGACATGTAATCGAAAATTGCTTGCATGCGTTTCGGCTTGAAGGGCACCCTTTGTACTATAAACCTTAATAGCCCTTAAAACCTTATTAGAACTCATGTCTCAAGGTGGGTGGCGGCATTTACGTTATTAATCTATCGGCTCCGGTGACCACTTAATACCAGATGGACCGTGAGCTCATACACCCATCGAAGGTTTAAAAATAAAAATCTCAATAATTGTACTATATGACTTTTCTACTTTGTCGAACCAGAAAGCATGGGCTTAGTCGCAGAATAGTGATACTTGCCCATGCAGGCTTAGAGCACTACTATAAATAAAGTGATCACACTACATGGGATGTATGGGATGCGCCAGGTATAGGACACACAATATTTTTATTTGATTATAATGAAAATTTAATAATTGGATATGCAAAGCTCATAACTTAATAAAATGTCAATTATAATACATAATTGACCGAATCATTGTTTAGGTCAACCTTTATGTGTTTAGGTTAGATAAATAATTTAAACCAAAGGATCTAACATGATAAGTCTGTTCAACTATTAATCACAAGATATATATGTAGCATGCAGTGTTCAGATAAACTACTACGATGAATAAATTGACATACTATTTTACTGTGCCAAAAACATTGCTCAAAAAAGGAAATAACAGTAGCAAGGTTGCTTTTTTTGAAGATGCTTTCTGTACTTGTCAATTTAACTATTGACAACCACGTCCTATACCCACTTCTCCATCAATTATCGTAAGTACTAGTGTTTAGCACGGAAGTTTAGACTTTACGGTGTACACATTACGGTTTCTATAGGTAACAGTAAAATTTTAGCATGAAACGGACCAGTAGGTTGGTAATGTAAAAATTGATTGAAGACCAGTTAACATAGTCATTTTGACAAAACATAAAATCCTTTGGTGTTTAATTTTACTTTAATTTAAAATAAAATTAGAAACGTTACCTTGTATTCAAAGCGACCTGTGCAACATTGGGATTCTTGAAGCACATGGCGGCTAGTAATTCCAGGGCTGGCACCAGTCGCGAGGGCGAAGGCACCGAGCGGGGCGGCACCACGAGCATCGCGGCGGCGGCCGAGCACGCTCCCGCACACGTCAAGGCTTCTTGTTCTACAGTGCCGCTGCACCATACAGCCAGCACACGTATCACACTAGTGCGCGCTTCCTGAGAGTCCTCCCGCGCAATCTCTGTATCACATTTATTTATATTTAAAAAAAAAAACACACTCAACCGGTTTTTCTCTAATGATTGTATTTTATAGGCAGGCTATTAAAAGCATTTTTCATGTAAAAGATAAAAGTATTAACTACATCTCTAATATTTTTTTAAGTATGAAAAACAATAGGCATCGTTTTACTTACGAGTTAATCTTGTGAGCAACCTCATGTCAGCTGGTAAGGCATCAACTGGTGCAGGTTTATGCGAGAATATACTCCTTAAGGCACACAGAGCTGCCTCCGCAAGTTTTGAACCAAGTGGTACAGTCTTAAGCATTTCCACTAATGCTGTAGCTGTTCCTTTTTCGATTAGAGATTCTATATTTTCTGGTGTGCCTTTTGCTAGTGAACCTGTGTTAAGCAATAACAAAAACAATTCCTATAATAATTCCGATAAATATGCAATTAATGTATGTTTATATTAGTGAACAAGCCCATCTACCTCGGTCTACCTAGCATTAAGTGACTACCAAAGCTCTAAGATGTTACACATGATTGCGGGGACCAATCTTGGGCCACAATATCTCAATTGTGTGAATTAACGGCTGTACCACCATTCAAATTAGATCACATGACTGTGTCGCGGCAGAAATAGACACGATGGTCTTATCTGCCCTGGTATATGCTCTGGGCTTGTAAATATCACCAGTAATTACACAAATTTATAATTTTTTACTGGTAAGATTTTTATTATACTATGCTATTCCTTTATTGCAGTATCGTTCTTGAATATTCATAATAATATGTTAAGTAAATTCTTCCTGAGAAAACTTCGACATAGTCACATCTCTTGATAAGAGTACACAGCACGGTTTATATGGCTTATACTTTAGTCCACTAAGTATATGGTAACATCCGTTTATAAGAGATATTACACACACATACAGTGTCATTGTGTAAATAAGAATATACAAAGGTTTTGGCTTGATCATGCTCATCTTGTACATGTTGTGTTAATTCAATTTGAGTTTTTTGTAGTTTATGCTGTTGTTAAACTACTAGTAGTAGCACTGTGATTTTTGATTTCCCATTTAAATAACATGGTTTTTTTTTTTCTTTGGGATTTTATTGTATCTCAACGAATTATCGTGTAGTAAAAAGAAATACATATTTTTGTAGGGAATTAAACAGCCTACAAAAAAGGTCTGAAAGAATTTTTTGCGAAGTCAACTCAATAAAAATTATTTGCATCAAAAATCACAATGCGACACCTCTAAACATTAATATTAAGAGCTCAAACTTTATCAAAATTTTTTTTCGTCATCTTCGACGATATTTTCGTAGTAACTAAAGAAAAAAAATTAAAATATTTTGTGGCCCACCCTAATGCTTATGGTAATGTAATGGTTTGTTTGTTTTATAATTTATTTGATTACATCATCAAATGGACTTTGATTTGACATATGTTTTTATAAATTCTGTATTGAACATTACATTCACACCTATGAGTGTTAATTTTATCACAAAACATTTGATAAACTCTCAACCCAAGATGTTAGTGATATTAACTTTTAAGAAAATGACAAAAACATCAAAATAATATGCAACATCTAACTTGGAGGTCCCCAAACTTTTTATCTTTGTTACATGATATAACATAAGACATAAAATGTTTTATGCGCATTAATTTTATTTAAGTATTTATATTATTTATTTCTCATATATATAGATAAATAGACATAACATGTTTTGAAGATAATTTTTAGAGTAACCCATATCTCAATAATAATCTATATATATAAAAATGAATTGCTGTTCGTTAGTCTCGCTAAAACTCGAGAACGGCTGGACCGATTTGGCTAATTTCGGTCTTGAATCTTTTGTGGAAGTCCAGAGAAGGTTTAAAAGGTAAATAAATATGAAAATGCTCGGAATTAAATAAAAAAACAATTTTGTTTTCCCTTTGATATGTCCCCCGTCGGACGGATACCTTTTGATTGTTTTAAGTTTATTTTATACAAAAGTTTAGTCTTTTATTTATCGATTGAGGCACTACGAAGTCTGCTGGGTCAGCTAGTACTATCTATAAAGATTATTACATTAATTGAAACTCAAAATTATAGATCATTTTAAATATTATTGTGGACCTCCACACGTCACCGATGCCAATTTTTTACTTTGATTCTTTCCTCATCAGTGGCAATCAATATAAGCCTGTATTATACTGTGTTAAGATTTGTTTATTTGTTTGTGAGTTTGTGGTAATCTCTGAAACTATGAGATCAAGTCTGTAAACCATTTTACTTCCCTTACTTCGAGTGACAATGTTATGAGATTTTGGTAAAAATAAGTATGTGGTTCGAAACATCTTAGTTTAAAGTCAAATCAATATTTAAAAGTAGCTATTAGAAACTAGTATCCTGTAGAATAACTTTCTGTTCAGTTTACATATGAAAGTACACAACCAAGACTTTACAAGAAACCGAATGTGAAACTAAAAAAATAAAAATGACATTTGTCTATTTAGTATTTAGAAATTATAAACATTAAGATTATCATGAAAGCTTTTATAAGTAGCAAAATCATCTAGAAAATAAACCCGCATTGTTGGTTTAAGGAAAACAATAGCTTATGCTGCATCTTATATTATGTGATTTGCGAATTTTATTTCGATTGTAATTGTAAAAATGTTAATTTACATAAAATAATATAGATTACATAGTGTAGTACAGAGTAAATAATCTATCAAACGTCAACTTTAATGTAAAAATTACAGTTAATATACTTAATATTGTATGGGAAGCTTTCATACAAATATTATAAGAACAAAAATTTCTGTACATCACTGTGTACACTAATGTATATCACTACCATGTATTAATAGGTTTATGAAGGAATGAAATTTTACCTATTGTAATAGTTGCCTCTAGTCTAATGTTCGGATCCAGTGATTCTTCAGACATCAATTGTAGCAGCCTTGGAACTACCCCTTGACTGATCACTGAACTCTTCTGTCTGTTGCTCCCTATTACCGAGTTCTTCAGCGTTACCAAAGCTTCCATTACCTTCACCGCATCCGAAGAATACAACTCGTCGATATACGAGCGGGAGCTTTCGATATCCTATTTGAAATCTTTTTAGGTTATAAAATATCATAAGAGATTTTAAAAGTCTTAATTAACTCAAAGAATCCTGTACTACGTACCATGAATACTGTAAACTGTTGCATGTTTTAATCAAAATATACGCAGTAATGTTGGTAAAAATAAACGTTCGAAATTCAGATCGACAACCGAGGCCGAACTACATGTCAAGATTGTCAAGTGTTATCTGACAGTGACAGTTCTAGACCATAGATTATACACTTCTAGACCGCGTTAAAATTTAATATTAAAATTACATAGACCAAGCTTCTCTACAACAATTTTTTTTTTGCTATTACTGGTTAGTTGACTATGAGCTTTGAGTAGTATTACAAAATCCTACAAAATGTTCATTTAAAGCTACCTTACCCTATATTTTCACCTGTCGTATTCAGCAAAGTTGTAAATAGTAAAAAAAAACTTGGGACTTTTTTTTATACCGGTTTTTTATACCGAATCGGTATACCGAACTAGAGGGATTACAATTATTTCGTTTCGTTTGTATTTTTAAAACAATCGATACAGTCGCACTCAATAAAACACTACATATCTACATATACTTTGCGAATGTTACAATTAAAAAAAAAAAAGGAAACAAATACTGTATTTAAATGTAGACCAGATACTTATTAACTCCATGATTTAAATTATAAGCAAACTTTGCTCCACAGTAGGCCGCAATTAATTCGGAATTCTGGATCATATAACTGATATCTCGTTTCAATTCTGCTAGAAAACGTTCCGAGAGGGCATTCTTTTCCGTTAAATTAAGAAAGATTACTCTTCGATCGTATTAAAAAAAATTGCAGAAAAGTGGCATAGAGTATTGTAATTCATGTGTGTACATAAACTTTTTGACATCTGTTAGGCACAGAAGTATAATAAAAAGGTCTATCCTATTAGGTACCGTAAAATGGGGCGATTAGGGACAAATTCCAACTTTATGAGCAATTTTAAGGTAGTTGTTGATGTATATAATGCTATATCAGGATCAAAATGATTGAGTCTTGGGGGCATTTTTGTTGTCTAATTTAAAATTATGTAACTAGCATTCCAGTTTAAGCAAAAAATGCAAAAATAGGTGTAATCCCTATTTACCCGAAAATTGCGGTTAATTGGGACGAAATGAGAAATTTGCTAGGGTTGGCACTACTTTTATTTTTATATATTGTTTTAATTTATTTATTTATTTAGTTGCACCAACAAAGTGATCATCAATAAAAAAAATTGAAAAACTGACAAAAGTACATGGCAGACATCACCTCAATTATAGGTGCAATCGACAGTGCATTAACAACAAATATATATATTTAAACATGTATAGTGGGCTTTCTTAGAAACGGTTTATATTTCTCCGTTATTGGTAAGTACTTAGGGGCTGATATTTCTATCTGGGTTAAGAGATTAGGTGTGTCGGTTAGTCGGTTATAATACCCCCACTCTGAACAAATATTAAATATTTTATTATGTATTACTTAGACATTTTTGTCCACCTTGAAATTTCATTGATCTTGTTACATGTCTCTGCAAAATCTACTTACTTATATTAAATTGCTTTTCTATTTCAACTAAAGACTTATTCCCAATTTCGCTTCGAATAAACCAGGTTTTACCAACAAATTTAAAAAATATTGTTATAACTACATAGACAACCCTACAAACCTGTACCTATTTATACTTAGGTCGTTTCCATTTCACGTATTCTCATCCCAATTGACCCCTTTTTCGTTGTTATTTGTACCTAAGACGTCCCCAATATCCCCAAAAACAACAGATTTGTACATGTATTTTTATTTAATCAAATACATTAAAACCAATAACAACTGAGACTTACCTTTAATATATATGCTGGTTCAAACACTAAATAACGTTTATAAATCATAGTCGTCTTCTATTATTATCAAATAAATAAAAGAGAGCAAAGTTTCTAGCACTAAAATAATTACCACCACAGGAAGTTAATTTGAAACGTGATTTTTTATAAGTTAGCAGCTATTATCATGCATATTCAGAGTTGTTTTATGAACTTTCAACATTCTACTATTAAACTACAAAAAATGGATGATTTTGCAACGAATATAAAACTTATATTGAGCGTCGAAAGATTTTCCCGGTTTTTTCCCGATTCGCCTCTCAATCCCTAATCGCCCCATTTTACCGGTAAATAATGGCAGTTGACATCTAAACGCTGACAATTTGACATTCATAAAATCATACAATCCATTTCAGGGATTTTACAAAAACAATTCGTGCTGGTCGTGATATTTATTTACTATTTTTGAAACAAAATATGAAATTTTGGTTAAAGTACAATGTACATTAATTAACCTGATAACGTAAAAGTGTGATGATTTAGTATATTTCATTAAGAAACTGCATAATGACAGACTCTGGAGTCGACACTGGAAATGAGAGCAGCGATAATCCTGTGTTTGATCATTCGAAATGTGTTTTGGAATTTAATCTTCCAGCAATTCCTATAACCCAATCTGGTCAACCAATGCCAGTAGAGTTTTTAGATGAGCCACATGATCATGTCGGAAAAATTAAATGCTCCACAAAAGCAAGACACTGCCGTCTTAAGCATAGATACGGTGGAACAGTTTGCGCATCCAGGAATCACAAGTTGCGGTTCGCGGCTTCCACGAATAACACAGAACTCGTTGAAAGATTATTAAAAGCTGGAGCGGATCCTAATTGTTCAGATGAGCACAAAAGAAGCCCATTGCATTTAGCAGCTTGCCGTGGCTATGTCGATGTAGTGAGAATACTTCTGCGTCACGGTGCTAACCCTAACAATAAAGACACACTTGGAAACACACCTCTTCATTTGGCTGCATGTACTAATCACATAACGGTTGTCATTGAACTATTAGATGCTGGAACTGATGTCAGTTCACATGACAGAAATGGCCGCAATCCCATACAATTAGCACAAAGTAAATTAAAGATAATACAAATGCGTCCCAGTGGTGTGGGGCATTTTGAAGTGACTCGTCAATTGATTAGTGAAATTTGCCAAGTTGTAGAAATGATGCTGAAATATATGAAAATGCAGAAGGNAACGGTTGTTATTGAACTATTAGATGCTGGAACTGATGTCAGTTCACATGACAGAAATGGCCGCAATCCCATACAATTAGCACAAAGTAAATTAAAGATAATACAAATGCGTCCCAGTGGTGTGGGGCATTTTGAAGTGACTCGTCAATTGATTAGTGAAATTTGCCAAGTTGTAGAAATGATGCTGAAATATATGAAAATGCAGAAGGCTGATGCAGGTGAGCTGGAATCTTTGCGACTGAGGTTGGAGCAAGTGAGTACACGGGAACAAGTTGACTCAGAAGTACAAAATCTACTCGACAGCCTGGACTCACTGAAACTTAGATAAATATATTGTCAAAGACTATTGAACAAGTACTACATAGATAATAAGCTCATAGTTTTTGTATTTAGTACTAAGTGGAGGTGTATTAAAATGTTCAATTACTATTGCCTTTTCTATTGCAAATCTTTTACTACTATAACCTTTAATTTAAACAATATCACTTTTAGCAAATTATTTAAAATTCATTCATTTGTACCTTATTTCTTATTTAAATAAGTTCTTTCATTCCATTTGTGTGAAATTCAATGCTGTAATTCAATGCCACTCTAAACTAAATTTATATTTTAGATTAATATTATTGTTGGTGGAGGTTCCACAAATTCTAATAAGTTTAAATGTAAAATGAAATAAACTCGATTTGAGAACAAAATCTTTCAATAATAACATAACCAGAGGAATTGCAATAATAATAATTTATTAACATCATTCATAAAATTGAAATTCAAATAACAATAATTGTTACATACTTATAAGTTATATTTCTCTTTTTGCACTTATTAACGATTGTAGAGAATCACTACCTAATTACCAGCACACAAGTTTAATGAATTGTGTAATAATTATTAAACACATTAAACATGTAGCTTCATTTCTTTGACTCCCATTACATAAGTATATTTTAAGTTACATTGGCATTTGTGCAGGTAATTACCAATCTCAAAGTCTGATAATTCTTGATGCCCTACATCAAACTTAGTATGGCTTTCAGAAAATTGATATTAGATGCTATTATGCATAATTGAGCTTGTGATTTGTCAATATCAATGCCCCTGAACAGCACCAGGTGTGGTTACAACAATTAAGTCTCAATGCAATGCCAATGCTCTTGCAATGGTGTCCTGGTACATCACAATCGCTGCTAGCATTTGAGAGTCATTTTGTACCAACCATTGCATGCTCTCGGCAGGTATTGTTTGTACATTTTCAACTTAAAAATTATCAAAATTAGCCAATAAAATGTTAACTTTCATTTAATTTCAACAATTACTCAGAAATGCTGGTAATTAAAGTACAAAATAATTTCATAAAAAAAAATAAAAAAATCTTAAAACCCTACACCAACAAGCAACAATGGAATGTGCGCATTAAATACTGTTTGTTACATGTCATGATTAGCTGTAACTCTGCTATTAAAATGAAAATTAGTTTTCTACCAATTTTGAGGTTCAGTTTCCATCAGTATGATGGTTTGAGCTAGCTACTCACACAGTAGCGTCTCAAAGTATCGAGGATAGATATTTGTTTAGTACAGTCAGTCATGGAAGGGAGACCTGTCATTATAAATTGTATTGTAGTGTTAATCAACTGGTGGTTGGGAAGGAAATTCAGGTAAGCCTCACAGATTAAAGTCTGCTGCACATGAGCTTAAAAAATATATGATCTCTTGTTTTAATGATATCCAATTAGAGCTATGTATTCGTAAATTCGGAAATATTTATATCTGATTAGTTATTTATAAAAACATCTCTCTGTTTTAATGGACAGCAGACTTAATATATTATTGCAATTATATTATAAAACAAAATCAACTAGAGCAAGTATTACACAATAGTTTTACAAAATCATTATATAATAAATATATTCGATAAGTGATAAGTATTGCAAGAAGTAGATATCAATTCCGTAAATTATATAACATACTAACAAAAACATATCACATCAATTAGGCCAATATGGGATCCAACATTAAATCAGCAAGCCAACGTCGGCACTATGGCAGAATTATTATCACAGAATTTTTTTAAATTAAAAACTTAGGTTAATATTAATTAATACTGCTTAATACATAAAAAAATTAATTAAGTTACATCAACAGACCCAGCCCAAAATATGAACTTAAAGTAAAGCAAAATAAGTAATTATTTAAACCCATAACCAGATTTTGCAAAGGTAACTAATAATTATCAATAGTATAATTAAATTACCCAAAATATTTGTCTCATTTATGAGGAAATATTACTTTGGAGATAAGTTAAAAAGGAAAACAAATGTTTTTCCTGACTGTGAAACATACCTATTAAACACATACTTTTTTAAATTTATACATTACAAACCAAATAAATAATTATCAAAATATTTTTTTGTTCTTTGTTGAAGCCAAAAACCAACTGAACTTTTTGGTTATTTTCGTAATGATTTACATGCATTATACATCAAAACTACATTTTGATCTCGGCCAAAAGACCAAATGTAAAAGTAAAAGTAGCAATTCATGTAATCACTCTACTTTGAGCAAACAATCAACAAACTGTTTAAAGATTGAAATGTAGAAATTTAGAGTGCTGAATATTTGGCACTAAATCATTGTACATGTTAAAAAAAAGCCTTGACTAGTTACAAATATATGCAATTACTCAAACATTTTGTTTCACAAATATCACCTTTTTTTACATAAACTTATTTAAACTAAACCATGTTTAAATCTATGGAATGATCATTTCATTAATTTAATTTTAATATAAATATAATTAATAATAAGTTACGTTGTACACAACCAAATGTTTAAACTCCCAATAAGATGTAACTAACTATATATAAAATATATCTTTATTGCACTCTTATAGGCTCGGTTAAAGTACAAACAACTACTTCAGTCATTTTGAGAAGAACTCTTCAACTATTATTTTATCCTGTTATTTTAAATCTGGCACTATGAGATTTACTACATTCGGAAAGATCTCTGCTTGTATAGGTCCGTACTCTACGAGCTCCCCGTCAACGGTGAGATATCCGCTCGAACCTTCCGGTACTATTCTAAATGCACTAACAGGAATCATTTTTACATATTCATTATTGATTTCCGCATGCGACCCTTGACCGATGCCGAGAAGGAATGAGAGTAGCTGTGATCGAGAAATCCCAGCTTTGATTATCAACATCCACATCACGCCGTCGGAGAGCGTGGAACGCGGTGCAAACAAGAAATCTTCTCCAATGTACGGCTGATACGCTACGTGAACCATGACAAACTCTCCTTCTTCGTGGACCCAATGCGACGGTAGCTGAGATACTAACGAGGGCAGATGCGAAGCCGGCCCGTGCATACAAGCGTGTACCGGCGATCGCATCTCCGAACCACCGCTGGTGACGCTATGATATTCCGAACCACGCGTACTGTAAAATGCGCTTCTCCGTGAATTAACCGAATACCACGAATCAACCCGCTGATGGTGCTTTCCGTTGACCGCGTTGCTAAACACTTCGGAATTTTCATCGCAGTCAATAAACGCTTCCGCGTCGGGGGAATCGAGTGCCCCATCCTGGCTCACGCTGTGGCTGAGAGTCAACGGTTGTTTCGGCTTGGGAAGATTAGTGACATCCTTAATTTTAACGTAGCTGATAACTCCCCGATACCGCCTCAGTCCGAGNACCCGCTGATGGTGCTTTCCGTTGACCGCGTTGCTAAACACTTCGGAATTTTCATCGCAGTCAATAAACGCTTCCGCGTCGGGGGAATCGAGTGCCCCATCCTGGCTCACGCTGTGGCTGAGAGTCAACGGTTGTTTCGGCTTGGGAAGATTAGTGACATCCTTAATTTTAACGTAGCTGATAACTCCCCGATACCGCCTCAGTCCGAGCAATCTCGCAACTGCCCACACCGCAAATCTCTGACCTCCGATTGCTCGTAATCTCTCGCTCTCAATGTCGATGTCTGACAATAAGCCCCATCCAACCGATAGAAAGGAAAACATGATCTGCGGTCAAAGAAATTAGAGTTGTTAATGCCATATTTAATTTTTTTTATCATTATATAATAATAGAACGCACACTGTATTTACGAATCGAAAAGTTATTTGTAGTGTCAGCACAATGCAATGAAACAGCGCCTCGTAATGGTTTACCAACGAACATTTATTAATACGCTTTTATTAGCTTCAGACGTATCATGTATGTTAGTAACGGAATCTTTAAACATGATTTTGAGCCCCTTCAAAACGTCGGATCAACTCGAAATTTGATATACTTATTAAGGACCGATGACAATTCAATATCAACAAAATATTTTTTTTTTATTGCTTAGATTAGTGGACGAGCTCACAGCCCACCTGGTGTTAAGTGGTTACTGGAGCCCATAGACATCCACAACGTAAATGCGCCACCAACCTTGAGATATAAGTTCTAAGGTCTCAAGTATAATTACAACGGCTGCCCCACCCTTCAAAATTGAAATTCAAATAAAAAATGAAAAATAAATAAATAAAATAAATAAATTTTAATAAATTTGAATTAAAAATAGTGTAAGAAAAAATATTTTATTGTAGGCTCAGGCTAAGGCTAATTACCTCAGGTACAAATAGAGGTGGTATTCCAAAAATTAAGTTCAATCCCTAATTCTTTTTTCACAAAGTTGTATGTTTGAATGGAATCGCTATAATTTTATACTTTTGATTACACAACTGTACAGTTCATAGTAACACTAGTTTACTAAATTTCATTAAATCATAGAGTGCCAATGGTCAATGAGATTGGAGTAAAATGACTGACATTCAAACTTGACGAAACTATAAGGGCTCCGTTTTTTTTCTATTTGACTGTAGAACCTTCATAACATATATTAAAATAAAACATAAAATATTTAAATTCTCGCATTTGCCATGAAATCATTTTATTTTCCCCATTTGTTAGCTATAACATGTTAACCAAATGTTAATTTTAACATAATACAACTTAATAGGTTTCAGAGTTCATTTTAGCGCTTGGTGTGATGCCCTAAAAAACTACCTTTTTTTTCGGGCCGGTTGTCGAACCTCCTACGAGGTCCCCGCTCCTAGGGGGCGTTCGGGGTAACAGAAAAATAACTATACCATAACCACAAAACGTTTTTGTAAACTGAAACTCGCCACCTTTATTAAACATCGAATTTCAACAAATTGGTGTAATTCGTATATTATAATATAGCAGTAGTGGAAATTAAACGCAGCCCTGATTTATTACTGCGCAATAATCCATCTTACTAAGCATTAAGTTGCGTGGCATTTTAATGCTAAAACGTCATTACCGCTTACCAAGTTTCACAACAAAATAAGAGGAAACTAGCTGAATTAACTTACTTTCGTTTTTGTTTCTATGCGAACGACGTCCATCGGAGTGATTCTGTTCTTAACTAGAGCCATCGAAATGCCGGTTAAATTTTGAGTGATGTACGGCTCACTGGAAATAAATATATTAATAAGATTAATAGCATTTATATTGTATTGAATAAGATTTCATGTTTTAGTGTAGACTAGCGACCCGCCCTCGCTTCGCTTCGGAAACATTAAATTTTATTATTGATAGCCGAGTCCCGCGATGTTACCCGCGGTTATTGTCGTACCGCGGGTGACGCCGCGGGGCGAAGCTAGTCTAAAAAAAAGTAGCCTAAGTTACTCCTTATATTATCAGCTACCTATCAGTGAGTCACGTCAAAATCATTTTGGTGTATGTACTGTATATAATTATATTCATAAGCATGTTGTAAAAAGCGGTTATTTCAATATTACAAACAGACACACCAATTTTATTTATATGTATAGATAAATGTCTACGGTCTAATTCTTGCTAAGATATCAGGATTTGTCCCAAAACAAAACAACACAAACAGAGGTACAAAAGAATGTTGTATAGACTACAAAACAAGAAAATAACTTAGAAACTAGAAATCAAAGGTTACGATACGAGGTAATTACATAAAATCACTGTTATATTAAACGTGTAGTTTCTACGATGCGCAATTATTAAAGCAAACATTTAAGTTGTTAGCATTATTAAGCGAATTGATACATAGTCAAAAGCAAGGAGTTCACAGCTCAACTGATGTTAAGCGGCTATCTGAGAGCATAAACTCCACATCGTAAGACACTGTCGAACCTTGTGCCCATATTAATAATGAATAAAAGCTTCATACTCTTATGAAGATAGTCGGCGGCATATTAGTGGTGGAATCTATAGGCTCCAGTAAACACTTAACATTGAGTGGGCAGTGAAATCGTTGTGCAACCATTAAAATATGTAGGTATTATATCTCACATTAGCTGACCCGGCAGACTTCGTAGTGCCTCAATCGATAAATAAAAGACCTAAGCTTTTGTATAAAATAAACTTAAAACAAACAAAAGGAATCGGTCCGACGGGGGACACATTAAAGGAAAAACAAAATTGTTATTTTAATTTAATTCCGATCATTTTTATATTTATTTACCTTTTAAACCTTCTATGGACTTCCACAAATAATTTAAGAACAAAATTAGCCAATCAGTCCAGCCGTTCTCGAGTTTTAGCGAGACTAACGAACAGCAATTCATTTTTATATATTATAGAAGAAGAAGATAGAAGATAGATAGATTAGCTAGTATATCATCTGCCATAAGCATAAGTGCATTTTTTTAAACAATTTCCAATAAGGAGTGTAATATTTTCAGAATTCATGTACATATAATAATATATTGGTTTCACAATAACTTTTTAAATACCGAACAGATTTCGACATCTGGGTTAACCCTAACAATATATCGAGTAAAAATGGCTTTTAAAAAAAAAAAAATAGCGGCAGCGTCCATTATAAAAAAAAATACAACTATTTTTACAGTTTAGTCTCGGATTTGTTATTTCCTACGGTCCTATTTCAATTCAATTATCGTGGTCCCGAACGACTGTCGGTAAGAAACACAAGATTAAATAATAAAAGCATAACAAGAGTATTTATTTAAAACTATTTTAAAATACTGTTTTTTCCGCTTTTTTTGTATAATCATCTCGGGTTGATCCACAAAGGACTAAATTATTACAATCAAGCAATATTTCGATTTCAAGATTCGAGCGAATATCAATTGATTCAGGTAATATTAATATGATTACGTCATTATTGAAATACGCTGTGTAATTTTCACAATTACGGTTCAGCGTTATGCACGTAGTTTAATTACATACGTCATGTATTACGTATAGACAAGCAGATATACCTGAGTGGCCCGGTTGCGTTGTAAATGCACTTCTATTCTCGTCCAGTTCCATTTGTTCGAGAACATAAAACGCATACTCGATTTTACATTTTCATATTTGATTCGTTCAATGATTCGAGACCACGGCATGGCTAAACGAAATTCGGAAATCGTAAAGTAAGAGATTACTCTCAAACTCCTACCGATAATCTTAAACCCCGTTGTGGGTAGATCATAGCAGGTATAAATAAGCAGCAGCGCAAATGTCTATACTCGGACCTTAGAACTTATATCTCAAGGTGAGTGGCGGATTTACGCTGTAGATGTCTATGGGCTCCAGTAACCACTTAACAGCAGGTGGGCTCTGAGATCGTCCAAGCATATCAGTAATAAAAAAAATAAAAATATTACGAAATAGCTGTCCATGCCATTTATCAATTTGTCTCCACCTTATCCTACTAGGTGGGGTCGGCACAGCGAATTTTTTTATTCCATTCTTTTCTATCGGCCCTCATCTCAACCCTCACTCCTCTCTCTCTCTCTCTTTCTCTCTCAAACGTCATTCACACACTCCATCCATGTCTTCTTCGGTCGACCTCTTCCCTCTGTACCTTGCACTACCATTTCCATACACCTATAGTAGAATTATTTGTCCGTGCAGTTCGGGAGCGTGAAGCGAATATTTCGCTCTCTCTTCCACTCACGAGCCTTATGGACGGGCATAGTGATGCGCATTATTGTTTTCGATAAGCATTATCGATAGTGTATTTAGTTTTGTAATTTTGTGGGTGTGATAAAAATCACCACCTTTCGTATACCGCCCCGCCGCCGTGTACCTGCCTTCGATGATTCATTTGTTTTTATCGATAATGACGTTGCGCCCGCGCAACATGCTCACCGCCCTAGCCGGGCTATGTTTTTGACCCAAACTGCACCGACAAAATAATTGTACTATAGTCACATGCATCTCCTCTACGCATCACATGCCCATATCACATAGCGTGATCGCTAAGCGGAAAAACATACATTTACACAAAATATTATATATTTTAATAGAAATTAAATTACTTGTTTCGAATTGTAACTGTTCAATTACATGCAAACTACGGTATTTCACATCGTGTGTAATACGTATAACGCACTTTTCCAGTTTCATTTTATTACTATACATTTTAATCTTATTTTATATATTGTTTCCGTTTCATAAACCTTTCGGGGGACGGCTGTCAAATAAAAAAATGAAAATAATTTATGGAAATACCGTCCCGAAAAAAAATAGCGAAGCGTTGCTTCTTAAAAAAAAAACTGTAAGATACAAACAAATATGCACTGTGACTCTATTATTTTCACACAAAGACTAATTATTATTGTAAAAAAAAAAAAAAAATTTATCAGTTTTTTGGGATACGTTTATGATATTATAGAATACAAATAGAAAAAAGAAGCGTACGTGAATTAATTAATGTAAGGCAATTTGAAATATATAAAATACATGCGATGAACGCTCTGTGCATAAATATCTTTTTTCCTCAATCCTGTTGTTAATGTCAACAATAAAATCTAATCAACAATTACGAAATTATTTTTACCTTGCTTCTGGCGTAATCTATCAATATCATAATACATGTTATGTTGAAATTGCAAAGCTGAAGTCAGAGGAGAAGGATGGTTGGAGGGTAGGCGGGGCATGTCACAAAGAATACTCTCCCAGAGAATATAGGTTTGTAGCAGATGCATTCTCGTTTGAATTCCGACCTGATGTAAGTCGAAAACGGTAGAGTGGTGGTGATATAGTGATAGCAATCTTGGCCATGATGGCCATGTCGCTTCGAACTGGTTCTTGCGAAATCCTACCTCTTTTCATATTGCAACCATTTTGGAGTAAGGATATTCTTATTATAAGCGCTCTACGGAAAAATAATGAACTTTTTTCAACTTCACGGCGCGACTGATCCATTAGAGAAACATGTTTTACTTCATGGCGTAGTTGTCACGTGCAGTAATGTCGTGATCATAAATCATTATTATTATAGGATAGGCACGTAAATAAGCTCACAGCTCAGTCGATGTTTAAATGGTTTCCTAACCCCTAGACATGTGATCGAAGTTTCAATAGAATTCTATAACAGGAACAGAACGCAAGGAAACCGGAACTAGACCTTTCAAATCAGAACGGATGACTGCTTCGTAGTAAAAATAGACGGGATGGTGGTAACAACCCGTGTAAACTTAAAATACGCTCAGTTACCCCCTTTATACGACGTAATATTGAGTTTGATTTTTACTATTGTTTCGGTTATTTCTTCGTGAATGCTGCACGTAAATACGTGCAGACTTTTTGGGTATGTACAATACTTAGATTTGAACAGCGGCATAATCACCAAAAATCTCAAATCGGTAGAATGATCGCCTCTATAAAAAAAAACCTTTCGTTTTAAACATGACAAACGGATCCTGCATTATGTAATCTCCTCGCAGTGTACGATTGGTTTTAAAACGTGTGCATTTGTTTATCAAATAACAATAATAAACACGTTAACGAAACTAGGTAATTCTAAACCAACTCAGTTATTTAGGTTACACTGATAAATTTTGCGCAACACTTAATAGGCCAACGTGTTTTTTTCTTAATTACTGTTTGTTAGCTATACATTGAACGTCAGTAACAAGTGGTTGAAGTACGAATAAAGCGATTTATTTTTCATTTGGTTTTATTAAAAATTAGTCAAACCAAAATTACTGAGGCCATGAATGCTGTATATACTTTTGTCGATTTGATCTGTACCCCACCGGTCTTAGATTCACGTTATTATACTGCAGAATTCCATTTCAATTGACAAAAATTAACGGTAATTCAATTAGCGCAATGCTTAGAGTATGGCGCAATGAATACCTATTTGGTATGCTTCAGAAGAATAAACTTTTGCCTCTTGTTTTGTAATGTAATTTCAAATACACTGTCTCTTGTTAAGGGGACGTACATTAATTACGTGACGTGTTCTAGGGAGACAGGGGATCAAGCTAAATCTTTCAAAATCTCACTTAGGGAGGATGTCTTAGCAAATATCACGTAATTTTTTTTCTGGCAGAAAACGGTGTGAAATTGCGTGAAAAATTATTTCTAGAATAAACTATGGCTAAATCTGACACAATAGTGTTTGTCGTATTCATCCGAATCTCGCAGAGGCGCAAAAAAAACGTTCGATTGTTTGAGCGCTATACACGTGCGACTTGACGAACGTCGCAGCGCAATATCCATAGTTAATTTTATTATTGTGATTTGAAATTACGTTAATATTCACAAATACTAGTTATTGCTGGTCTTCAATGAAACTAATAGAACAATTTGTGTTTTTTCTCTCAATAATCCAAAACGTTTACAGCCAAAATAGAAATTTTGAAGAATCTCACACGAGTTGAGGAAAATCTTAGGAAATCTCAACAAAATGAGAGTGGTTTCGAAAAATTCTCAAAAATGCCTCCGTAATTAATGGACTACCCCCAAAGGTGTAATTTGATTAGTATATAATAGCAGACTTGATTACTAATCAAGTTACCAAACTCCATAACACATTATCTTCAGTTTTTACTGACTTAAATTTTTTATTCATTTGACCAATAAGAAATTTTTTTGTTACTGAGTCAGCAGAAATATTTTAGAAGTTTTAAAACTTCTTAAAACATTTTTCTACAATTATGTAATTATTAAAACCAGTTGTATGCTGTTGAATGCATGGACCCGTTAAAATACCCATATATTTAGTTGTGTGTATTTAAGAATCTTACCCAATTTCGAATCTTTGGTGTGATGCTTATATATTGTGTGGGAAAATGATAGGGTTTAAAGGTATAATTTTTTCTTAATAAATGTTCCTATCTACTGTACCTAACACATGTTTACTAAGCTTACACAACATAGACCCTTTAATTTCATTAGCTTATATTAAAAAGAATTTAATAATAGAAACATCACTGTGACAACGTTTTTTTTCACTACCTATTCTAGTAACCTCGAGGGGTCATACTAGATTCTCCAGGCGAGTAGGTGAACTCACAAGACTCTAACCTGAGAACTTTGTTAACACTAGCCCTAGCAAGAGCAGTGCCTTGCAGAATCTACCACAGAATTGGAAATGTGACCCACTAAGAAGATCCGTTGAGAAACTCAGTGGACTGTGTTTGTGTGTTAATTTACTCACCGAGCCCTTCGTCACAAGCAACGGGTTTGACGAGAATGGTGACAGTTGGATGTGACAAGTCTCTAGTATCAAGCTATAGTTAATAAACAGTAAGCTATTTTCAAACCACATAATCTGAATTACAAATTCATAGTAAAATACAATATTGAGTATATTTATAAAATCTAAGTGATTTATGATTTTTCATTTTTTAATGTAGTTGGATCTCTTAATTTAATCGAAGAATATAATCGAAAGTGTCAAAAATTTATAAATTTCGCGTAAATAATATAAAGGACATCAATTAAAATAAAGTGCTTCCTTACGAAACCACTACTTTTTTTTTCTAAAAATAAACATTGGTCAAGAACTATGAAGGCTACAATAACAAGCTATGTAGTTTGACCTTAGCACTGTCGTGAAAACACTTATACCAAAGATTAAATTTAGCATACACATTCTAATAAATTTAATAATTAGCAACACAAAGTTATTTCGATTACATATTAGGAGGTGTAAAGGTCACTGAACCAGGATTTAATTTGCTTACTTGTAGAGGTGGCAAATAGTTCGTGCCAATCCATTTCCTGACCCACAGGGGATGATGGCGAGAGGAATCTCCGACAGTGCTTGTTGCCAATCCAAGCGCTCAAACATACCATTAAGGATTTCAAACAACACACCGTCTCCACCCACCGCCACAATAGTACGCCAAGCATAAACATTACGCGTACGAACGAATTCGCGGGCAAATTGAGCATATTTAGTGACATGAAGGTCATACGGCACTTCCGCTTCTTGTAATATCGGAGCCACCTTGGTCTGAAACAATTCTCTAGCCTTCCCAGGTCCGGATTTTGGATTGAGAAGTATAAGTATTTTCTTATCGTTGAGCGGTGGCACATACGTAATCGGCTGACCGGCTATCAAGCATTTTATAGTTGTACGCCACTTTTGCGCCTCTCTGTTATTATCTTCGTATTTATCGAAAGACCTGAAGCGAAGGGTTATTGTTGTTCTTTCCCTCTTCCAACTGCGACGGCTTCGTTTCAAAATATATGAGTAAATGTACAAATACGCACTAATGTCATTTTCGTCCAGATCGCCACTGTTCTCCTCCACAACTTTTAGCTGTTGAGGACCCACCAACGAACTGCAGACACAAGAGCTAGCTCCGTGTCGCCGTCTTTTGCTTCTCATACATTTACTGCCTATAATGTCGCGCAACAAAATAGTTTGTTCTTTAGAACTACCATCAGTTTCTTTTGTTAAAGACAGCCCTTTAGATGTTAGACGAACCCGAAACACTGAATTCTTCTTAGAGAGTATATAAAACGTTTCTTCCAAATACACATGATCTTTCGGAACCGAGTCACCTTCAATATTTTTCGACACGTCCTTACCAAACATTGAATCCGCCATGACTAAATGACATAGATTAAACACTTAATAATTGGCACTAAATGATATTGTGAAATTAAGTTTATTATCTATGGACTATTTTTTTTTAATTCTCATTTTGCACAACTCTAATAAGCATAATGACATTAACATAGATGGACAATGGTAATTCGATGAAAAATCGAAACCATTTTAATGTAAAACTTTTTTAGTAATTATTCCAAAGCCTATTTTTTATTAATCATAGATCAAAAAAATGAAAATGAAACAAGGCATGACGTAGCTTCTTAAGTTCATTAAAAAAATCCACTGTAAAAGTCTCAGTAAATGACCACAATTTTACTGAGATTATATTTCATCCCATATCATCTCATTTCATTTCATTTCATCCCAGTTTATTAATGTCTCAAATTAATCATCTTCATTTCATTTCACTCCATATTATCATTTTTCATAGAATTATGAATATAAATTAAAATAAGAAATGACTTAAAAGTCTTAGTTACCAGTGAGGGAGTTCATATAGAGTCCTTCTTTATTTCGCCGTAAAGTCGTGTTTTATGTAATTAACACCACAGTTGGCACAATATAAATTTTATTGTTGTGGCGGCATAAACAATTCTAAGTAATTATATTACATTAATTATTAAACACATTATAAATTATTTTTACGTTTTCAATTTTCGGCGGTAAAAAGGTCCCGTGTCACAGACTATATCCTTTTTCCCACCTCTCGTGCGTTCTGGCTTACGCATCATATAAAGGTGCGTTCTTAAACGCCACACCTTAAAAAAAACGGTAGGTACCTACCGCACCTACCTACAAAAAAAACTGAAGTATGACATCTTTATGTCTATGGTACCTACCTACTTCTAATCAAACTCAAACATGTGTCTGTTTAAAGATTCTACACATAATTGTATTTTGTATTGTTTCTAGTGCTTCATCATCTCACTGTGATATGATTTTTTTTTGTAAATGTAAGCTCAACGATGGAGGAAAAAATGGAACACAGAATATTAGAACTTTACAGCGGTATTGGTGGCATGCATTGTGCCTGGAATGGTATGGACGGCAAACTATTTGCGTGAAATTCATTTTAATATTATTATCTTTAAGTAGTTAAGTATCAATTAGTAATTAACATATTGTTTCAGAAAGCACAATCAAAGGGAAAGTTGTAGCCGCTATAGATATAAACACCGTCGCAAATGACGTTTACAAGTACAACTTTCCTGAGACACTATTATTCACAAAAAATATACAATCTTTAACACCGATAGAAATGGAAAAGTATAAAATTGACACAGTTCTCATGTCACCACCTTGCCAGCCTTTTACTCGCAATGGAAAAAATTTGGATGAAAATGATCCAAGAACCAACTCATTTTTATATTTCATAGATATATTAGACAAATTAAATACCCTTCAATATATTTTAATGGAAAATGTTAAAGGGTTTGAATGTTCTACTGTTCGAAACTTATTTGTTGAAAAGTTGACTTACTGTGGATTTGTCTATCAAGAGTTTATGTTGAGTCCTGTAAGTGTTGGAGTGCCTAATTCAAGATTGAGGTATTATTGTATAGCTAAAAGGAATAATACATGGAACTTTAAAAGAAAAGATGAGCTTGTAAGTTAACCCTTACTTATTAATATAAAATCTAAAAAATTATAATCTTACTATTCATATAGTAAACAGCAAATAGGATGTATGCAAATCACCATTATAAATCATGTCTTGCTTGAGGTGATAGTGTATTGGCTGTTCTCCACAACCTGTTTCAAATGGCACCTCTTTTATATAAGGAAATGAGGGACCTTATAAGCATTATCTGTGCCTCAGAGCATCAGCTAGCTTGCTTCAGGTTACCAACAGCAAGTATATCCGTAAGCAATGACCTGGGCAACCTCAGCTATGTCACTGGGTTAGGTGGTCTCGTTTGACTCTAGGTAGACGCCACAGAAAAGACTATGTAATGACTGTTAAAACATAACTTTTACTTCATCAAGAGAAATAAAAATTGTATTTCCATAATTTGTATATTAACATCATATCAGATTTCCAAATAAATTCATAAATGATTAATAAAGTGAATGTGATAAAACATTTTAGATTATAATTTATTAACAACAGTCACAAATTATTTTAGAATTTCACAGAGTTTGATGCCTATGAGAAACCAAAAATCAGTTTAAAAGCATTATAACACTTTCTCAAAAATATTTAGTTTGCACATAAATGGTACGTCTCTTTTCCTATTAATATGATTTTATACTTGCAGATTACATGTCTTCCAAAAACCTTTGCAAAACCTCATTGCCTTAAGGATATTATTGAAAATAATGTGCCTGATGATTACTTGGTGCCAGACAAGATGTTAAGGAAAGCAAATATATTTGACATTTGTTATGCAGATTCTAACAGGTCATGTTGTTTTACTAAAGCATACACACATTATGTAGAAGGTACAGGCTCTGTGTTCACCGAAACAAGTTATGACATAGTACAGAAGTATTTAAAATTGGCTAATTATTTTGAAGTAGGTAGTGATGAATTTCTGCAAACCTTAAAAAAGCTTAAACTTAGGTTCTTTACGTCTAAAGAAATCTTGCGGTTAATGTCATTTCCTAGTGAGTATAGTTTTCCTACGACTGTTACAAGGAAACAATGTTATAGGCTTCTTGGAAATAGTGTAAATGTTAAAGTTATCAGTGAATTATTACAAATTCTGTTTGATGAATAAGAGTATAATAGTTTCTATAAATGTATTGAAGTTTTTTTTTTGTATTTGAATTGAAATGATAGTAATAGTATTTTATTAATTATAGTGGATTAATGTAATGTCAAAATGTTTCAATTACATATTATCAGATATTATATTTTTGTGAATTTCTTATACAAAAAAAAAATTGAGGAGGGTGAGTGTGCTATCATAGGCACAAGGTGTACAAGTTACATGCTCCACATTGAGTGATATCACATTACAACTTCTCTTGTGTTAAAACTGTTTTCAACCTAACTGCCGAGGACTAATGTATGAGAGGACAAACAGTGTTTTGACCAATGTAGAGAAGATATGTGAAACATACACTCGAGATTTTACTTAACATCAGATAAATATTAATTACACTGATAAAAAGTAAGTACATAGAGACCACAATGCTAAATGTTAGTTACAAACATAATTGAACTATCTAGTGACTCCTGACTGGGAACTCTATAATAAATACAGGAACTACTAGATCGAACCAAAACAGTATGCAGCATTAATATTTGAAGCACGCTGCTGTTACCAACATAAGGAAACCTAGAACCAAGAACCTATTTGAAAATTGCTCTATCATTTGAGATCTCAGTTTAATCAAAATATTAAATTTAAAATTGAAATAAACCTAATTATAGAATGCCATAATATGAAGTTGAAAAGTTAGTTATTTTTCCAAAAACACTAAACATTAATATTGTATCGTGCTGATTTTATTATCCAAGTGGCATCTTTAAATTTTAAACAATATTTTTTAATATGTATTTTTACATACTAATTTGCATGGTTTATTTTTATTTTCCTATTGTACTTTAGAATTTATATTATGAAAGTCATCGTTTATTATTTTTGTTGTTGGAAAGCATATTCTAATCTACTGTTTTTGTAATTAATAATCTGTAAAAATAATAAATTTATTTCAATAATAAATATCATATGTTCAAATTTTTTTCTAATTAAACAAATTGAAGTTATATGCAGTATTGTTCTTTGTTTTTGTTTTATTAAATCGCTCCATTACTCAGGATTTGTCGTGCTCTTCGCTTAGCTCGATAATTGAGAACTCTCATTCTGAGCATCACAGCAATAGAGGATGCTGCACCAATGACAAATGACCAAATTGTGAACTTCCAGTAGGCCCACTTCTCTAAATAGGCCACCCGGTCGCAGCTGAAAATGATTATTTATTATAATATTATATCAAAGTATGTTGTATGGTATTTATTTAAGAGCAATTGGCTCACAGCTCACCTGTTCCAGTATCAATGGTTGCATGATTAGAAATCTAAAATACTATTGTTTTAATAATAAGGAAATACTATTGTCATAATATTTTAATAATATTATTGTTGATCTAAATTGACTTTTAACTTGATGAGTTGGTGTTATTGTTAAAGTGATGTTAAACTGCAAAATTATGCCCTTAACAATCAGTGGAAACAATTATTGTATTTGAAAGAATCTTCTTATTGAACCACAAATAGTAGTATAGTATAAGTTTATACAGTAAAGCAGTTAATAAAGTAACAACACAGTAATAGTTGGTATCAGTAGCATCAACATACCTTCTTGTCACAGTTTCTCCATTTTCACACTTCAAAATTTCTTTAAAACTTGTATGTATACATACTCCTATACTCTTACTTCGAATCTCAAAATCTGAAATTTATTTCATTTATCAATAAATGCAATTTATGACTCCTATGTCTGTTAAACACTATTAGAAAATATACAGAACAATGTGAATCATCTTAATCAAGGGTTGTGTTTATTCTATAAAAAATGTTCTCCCATTTCCTGAAGAATACATCACAAGAGATGATCAAACCAATACATAGCACTTAGATCTTTTGACTTTTTTTAACACAATACAAATTATCATTAATGTTCAATTTCAAATCCACATTTATATATGAAGTATAAAGAACTCTTAATCCAATAATTATTATTTCAGCATATGAGAGTGATTTCAGTAAAGATCAATAATACACTTTGAATAGCCTGACTATTTGTTTACATCCTTCATAACAATGTTACCTGAGCAAGGATGACATTCACTAATAACTTTGTATGGTTGATAAACCCAACAGGTTGAGTTGTTCTCTGTTGGGAATGTTTTGTTTTTCATTCTATGACTGCTTGATAATCTCTCAGCTAGCCGTGATTCGACAATGAGAACTATTACAGTTAACCTGAAAATTAGAGTACTTAAGATAGTGTTGTATCAAATGTATACGAGCTCAGACTCCACTTTGCTATGAGTTTAGTTTTAGTCACCTTGGAAATGACTGGGCAGGCTATGGTATCAAGGGCGAGGCAACCCCTAGGCCCACCTAGTATTAAGCTGTGCTGATCTCGAAGTGTAATAATGTTATTAAAATTTAAACTATTAAGTACTTACATGCCTAGGCACAACGTTCCTAGAAGCATACATCTTTTTGAACATGTTTCTATCATTTTAGGTACATTTAAAATAGCACAGTTCTAAGTGTAGTTATCGCTAATACCAGAAAGAATATAATAATCAATTTGTTTTCCAGCCAATATCATTTGTTTTCTTTGAAGGAACACAAATCTGGGTTTCATACTTCAGTGACGACACTGACAAGTGACAGTACGGACAAAATTGGTGCATTATCTATGATATGAACACTCGTCTAATCCATTAAATAAGAGTTGACCTAAAGGTTTGTAAATAGCAGGTAATAAAATCCCAAAAAAAAACGTGTGGCACTCGGGAACTGCCGCGGTAAAGCTATTGCATAGCATTTTTTATCAACTTATGCAATTATAATTAGACAATGATAATTTAATATTAAAACAATAATAAAACAAGACCACGCTATAGTAAACATTAATAAAAGCAAAACATTAACTGTCCCCTTCATACTCATAAGCTGGACCGGGCGAGAGAGAGATGGGCAGACTTTTCATGATGCGCTGCAGTGCGACGTCACGCCACGCGCTCACAAACACTACACAAGCGCAACGTGTGAATGTGATGAACGCGAGCTACATGGAAGGCGGAGTGAGCGGTGTTAGGTTTTTTTCGTTACGGAATTTCATGATTCGGTCGCCGCGCTCAAGGCCCGCAATAAAAGCTATGCAATAGCTTAAAAATCGTCTAATTCATAGATAGTACACTTAAAATTTTTAATCGTGTACGGTACTTACAATGATATATACTTGGCACCTAAGACCAACGAATACTTCGAAACTGTCACAAAACAAAATTTGTTCACGTTAGTATTTTATCTCTAAAAGAACAGACAGAAAATAATGCTAAAAAGCACTGATTTATCGATGGAGATAGCTGGTTGACATAATCGGACGGAGTCACGATCCTCAGCAGTGAGGGACCGATCAAAGAGAGAGATACACACTACATTTGAGTGTTTTGTTATATTTATTTATTGCATAAATTTTGCAGCATGCAACGACGTGCCCTTGACTTTAGCGGTATCTATGAACGATGGTGACTATACTTAGCTTCAAGTGAGCCGTATGCTTATCGGCCTAAAATGACAATAAAAATGTCTTAAATAATTTCGTTTTTATAAACGGGGGAAGTTACGGAAATATCCCTCACGGGGAAAGTTTGTCTAGTTTTCATTTACAAGAAAACACGCTCAATGGCATTTTGACCAGATCAGATCAGATTTTTTCATCTAAATATACATATTTATCTATAATGCGTCAATAAAAAGAATCAATTTGCTGAACTTGGGTTCGTGGGTTGTTCCAGAAACTTCGTCTTACTTTTTGGAAATACCCGCAATTTTGCTACGAACTTATTCGATTTCGTCTCACGAGAACGTACCAATGAGATCTGGTATCTCATTTCATTTAATAATTTTCCTGCTATTCCAATCTATTTATCTTTACTTACAACAACCCCGCGGATAAAGTCTAAAGGTATTTTTACCATCGCCTATCCTAGAGACCAATAAAAAAAATGAATGACAATGACTTTATTGTTATTGTCAGTTATTTAGTCAATTTATTGCTCCGCCATGTTTAATGGAAACGTAAACGGAATAGAAAGCGGTTGCTCAGTTATAGTAAAAAATTAAGTTAAGACACCAGATACTTAAAATCCTTAAGGAAGTTATGTGAGTTGTTGCACAGCCTTTAAACATCGTAAACGTTTACTGAAAAACAAAATTTCTCGAAAATGACTCCGTTTCGATTATACGTTACTCACGTAGACTGTGAAGGCCCTTTTCTGAGAATAAGTGGGCAGCTAGATCAGCAGTCTTCACTTATGGTGGAAAGCTTGTTCGAGGCTGCACGCGAAAACTTGGAAAACGGTGTCGGTGCTGTCCCCCCGGCCGCTATTCATGACGGTGTCATTTGTGCCGCTAAATACAAAGACGGTACATATTACAGAGCGAAAGTGATAAGCACTACGAATCTGGCGACAGGCATTGTCGGAGTTCATTTCATCGACTTCGGAAACAAAGACAATATTTCGCTAAGTACTATTAGATTTTTGGACAGCTATGATCCTATGTTTATGCAATTGAGAGGTCAAGCCAATGACTATTATCTATCACGGGTTGTGAGTCCTCTGGGAAGATGGGAGGAGCCATTGCTTTTGAAACTACAGAGCCTTTTATGTTATGCTGAATATGCTGCTACTATTGAAGCTCATACAAGATCTTTACCATTAATATCGATTCAGTTTAAAGGAAATGATCTATCAACTCATTTAGTCTCAGTGCGTATAGGAGTTGCACTTCCATTAGCAAAGCAAGAAGTGCTCCTGTTGCAAATGTCTGGTGAAAGTCAGCAGCAAGGAAATTGGCAAAAAAATAGTGAATCTGCATCTTATACAGAGCATGTTCCGTTTTTGATCAATCAAAACTTTCCTTCAAATCCTGCATCAGCAATGCGCCTACAACAAAATGTGTCTGTACCATTCAATGGAAATGTACCTCCCCCTTCTCTGATCAGTCAACGATTACTAGTCAATAAAGCCTCTAGAAACACTGTAAACTTGAAACCAGTGCGACAACCACAACATGCAACTCAAGTAGCAGCTAGTATTAGTTCTATACCAAGTAATAGAGGTGCTGCAACTTCTCCTCCATCAAATAAATTAGGTTCACCTAAAAAATCTACCACTTACAAGAGTAGACTTTTGGAAGTAAATTCTCAGCATAAAGTTTTTGTGTCATTTGCTGAAGAAGGTCCTGAACTTTTTGCTGTTCAGCTGGCAGCTGATGCTCAAAAGTTGCAGGATATGATGGATGATATAAATAGAAGACCACACAGAAGTTTAACCGAGCCTCCCATGATTGGCACAGTATGTCTTGGCAGAATGTCTGGAGATCGTATAATTTGTAGAGCAATAGTAATGAATCTCTCAGGATCCCAGTGTAAATTATTTTTTGTTGACTTTGGAGATACGGAAATGGTATCCTACTATGATATCTTTGACATACCTGAAGAGTTTGTGAAGCCTAATGTATTTGCTATGAGGTTTTGTTTGTCAAAGGTGAAAGAATTAGAAAAAGGGCTACATTTGAATGAAACTTTCAAACACCTTGTGAGTCGGAAAGTCCTGACACTAAAAGTTGTGGCTCCAGAGGGTCCCCCATTGATACAGTATGGGGAACTTTATTTAGATAACAAGAACATTCTAGATATTTTGATGGCAAACATGAAAGATAAGTTGCAATTTAAATGGTTGGAAATGCTTCCGTTGGGAACAAGACAGTCTGTCTTAGTATCTTATGTAGACAGTTGTATTAAGTTTTATATGCAGCTCTCTGATAAGATAGATGAATTAAAACTTGTTATGGCAGCAGTAAAAGCACACTGTGAGAATAGTTCGTCACCTGGAGAGCTCCCGGTTGGTGCAGCATGTTGTGCACGGTTTCCTGATGACGATGCGTGGTACCGAGCCACAGTGAGGCACACTGAAGGAAATAAAGTAGTTGTTGCATATGTAGACTATGGCAATGAACAAGAAGTTGATGTGTCCGACCTTAGGACAATCACACCTGAACTAGTGAAACTACCTGCACAAGCCATGAAATGTGCACTCAAGGTTAGTACTAGATGTTATGTAGAATTGGTTTTGTTGCTTACTTATATCATCATATTAATGAATAAAATATGTAGCCTTATCTACCCTCCCATATTCCATAAAGGCCTTATCTACTAAACGAGAATATGCACATTGTAGGTTCTTTAAGAATATGTGCAGTCAGAATATAGCAATTAAAAGAAATTGTTTCTTTGACTTCATCAGACTTTTAGGTATTACTGAAAGTGTAATTACAGGCTAAGTTTTAAATTAAAAATGCTTTCAAATTGAAGCTGATTTTATATTTAACAAGTGAGATGTTACCATATTTCATTGAATTACTAGATATTAAATTGTAAAAATAGTAATAGTTAAGAAGAGAATACTATTTTTGTCACTTATTGACTAGTTAGTTGGATAGCCATAATAAGTCCTTAGTGAAAAAAGTATTTTGAATTAGTTTGCTGAGAGAAAACAAATCTATAAGTTAAGGTGGCCATTTATATCTCTTTTCTAGTGTTACTTCTGTAGACAATTAAGAGTAATAATTTTTTTTAAAGGTTGATTATTTATTGCAAAGGCAATAAAATATGTGCTGGGTCTACCCACATGTGTATTTTAAAATATTAATTGACTACATCACAAATAGATCATTGCAAGTAATCTTAACAATAATTTATTTTCCAAATCTGCATGAAATATTTTTTCTCCTAAAGGGTTTTGAAAACAGGCCTTTGGAAACTAAGACGTCCAACCAGTTGGAGATGCTTGCATTGGAGAAAACTCTAATGGCTAATATAGTTGGAGTGCTATCTCATGATACAATGCTTGTTACTCTAGTGGATGATACTGTGAGCCCTCCCATGGATATTGCAAGAAGAATGAACCAGCTTTCTCAGCCCAGGAGTTCACATGAGGTATGTTTTGACTGTCCTATTAAAGTTTACTGTAAAGAGTAATATAGATACAAATGGTTGAGTAATGATCCTTTTAAACAAACAATGTGTGGCAAATTCCCTAATATAGAGATGGATAAGTTTATTTAAATTGAAATTGAAATTATCTTGGAAATAATGTGCCTAAATATATTCAAAAATGACAGTGCTATCTATATTCATTATAAAGCAATAATGCGGTGTGATCTGAAGGGTATGGCGGCTATTATTATTACAATGCTATTGCAACTTGACCTTATGTAACACAAGGTAGACAGCAGCATTGAGGTTGTGGCTTCTGGGAGATTTGTTACTTGCCTAATATCAAGTAAATCGTGAACGTCTTTAAAAAATCGAGACACACTGGTTAAAACTGAAACTTTGTTTACTTAAGCACAGCTGAGTACTTAAAATAGTTGCAAAGTATATATTTTTAAAATATACTCTATTCCTCAGTAATAAGGGTCAATAAATTATGAACTTTCTAAAATTATATGAACAAATCATTTACACATTGTTATATAATGAAGTTGAATCCATGATAATAACTGAGCAATTTGGGAGAATGTTTATAAATTCTAATAGGTAGTACTCTATATATATTTCAAGAGAGAACCTAACCATTTTC